AAGGTTATGGAAACTTGTCGAAGTCACCATTGGACATACACTGGCCGGATTAGTTGTTTAATTTGTGATTACAATTTACTTAAAGATCATGCAACAGTTTATTATTGTATTATATCGAATTTCGGATCTGAAGTACAAATGAGAATTTTTGCAATATTTTATTTTATTTGTTATAGTTTCCGATATCTAAATAAAGTGTAATTTCTGATCGTATTTCTTTTAACATCAAACCAAGACTAATCTTCTGATCTTTCTTTTATTATAAAGTATTTCTATATATAAATTAAATTTAGAATCGAGCAAGTGTGACATAGATAAATAAGTTTTTCACTGTTCTGATAAAGCACAGCTCAGTAATCAATTTAAGTATAATTATGGATTTCTAGTTAACTTGCCAATACAAAAGATACATTTATGTAATATAGTACGTCAAAAACATATTGAGATACTTGCCACAAAACCTTGTTACTAGATTTATATGAGCAATGAGGTTATTACTCTTAAATTTCAAGGTGCACTATATTATTATACAATAATAGACACTCGCAACTGTTTATTCAAGAAATGGATTTCTGTGAAGAAATTTATTTTAAAATTTCGCTTAATAATGCTTAATTTCATAATGAACGACGAATGATTACTTTTTAACGAAACTATGACCCTGGAATAAACGATTTTCTACATTTTACGACGTTTTTCAAACATTTTTTAATAAACTGTACGTATACGCAATAATTAATATTCGGCAGACCATACACAGAGAAAATGAAAAACGAAAATTTACCTAAATATAAAAGCGATATTTACAATTTATCCCACTATCCCGTTGCTTCGTAAGCGGAAATAATAAAAATCACAATTTGAACCTCAATTTTTAAAAATGAAATCCCAGCAGAAATAAATTTACTAGGTATTTTAGTTGATATTACAAATTAAATTGTAATAATTAAGAAACTTGAAATAATTTTTAAAAAAGCATGTCAAAATTGAGATTATTACAAGTTACCTAATAAATTCTACTATTTCTAC